TATATATATTCATATAAATATTATATGCATTAGTTGTGTTTCATTAAGTGCATAAACGTATTTCAGGTACGTTCCCGTCGATGCTATAATACAACCGGTTGGAACAGGGGCAAAGCTAAAGACACAACGGGTAAGTACGAGTCCTAGACAAAGCAAACGCCGGCAGCCGGCGGGGGCCGCGCCCTGCGTCAGGTACGCAGCAGCCGGCAAACGGCAAATCGATTTACGATAACAAAAGTGTTTTGCTTTTCTTCTCCTCTGCTTTTGCAGCCGCGACAGCAGCAGCAGCCGCCGAACTGAAAATAACGCAAAAGGGAAAAGTAGAAGACAAAGTGGAGACCGACGATAACTTGAGTCTTGAAATGGAGCGGCGTTATCTGAAGAATCCGTTTGCTGATTTCGCCGGCGGTGAAAATACGCCCTTTGCCACCGATGAGGAGCACATTAAGACATTGATATGCACCTATGTGGATGCCATATTGGAGCACTGTCATCCCAATAGCGACGAAGAGGACAATCGCGGCGACTTGTATGTGGGCAATGCTGGCATTGCCTTCATGTTCTGGAAGTTGAATAGCTGTGAGCAGACCCGTGATCTCTATCCGGCTTTGGAGCATGCGGCTGCCTTCATACGCAATGCCAAAGTGAACGCCCAACGCTACAAGAAAAGATCAGCCGAGCGATATTCCTTTCTATGTGGCAACGCCGGCATCTATGCCGTCTCCGCTGCCATATCCCAGGAGACAAAGAATACGGAGGAACTCTCCATGGACTTGGCCAACTTTAAGTCTGGCATCCCATCGAGCAAGGAGTTCATGCATACGAAATATGGTTGTGACGAGGTGCTAGTTGGACGCGCTGGCTATCTATCTGGCTGCTACTGGCTCAACGACGTGCTGCCGGAGAAGAAAATTACGGATGATGACCTCATCTCCATTTGCCAGCTGATCATCCACAGCGGGCGGGAGTATAGCAAGCTGAATAACTCTCCGTTACCATTGATGTATCAATACCATGGTACAGAGTATCTGGGCGCTGCTCATGGCCTTTGCGCCATTTTGCACATGCTCTTGGATAGTCCGTGGTTCCGTACGGTTCCCATATCGGCGCCCGCCGCCGAACTGCGGGACATCAAGCGCTCGATTGACTTCTTCCTGGAATTGCAGGATGCTGAAGGCAACTTCCCAGTGGCTCTGGAGGACTTGCGTTCGGGCCGGGATAAGCGTCTTGTGCATTGGTGTCATGGTGCACCCGGCGCTGTCTACGTGATAGCCAAAGCCTATCTAATCTTCAAAGAGGACAAATATATTATATCACTGCGTCGCGCCGCGGATTTGGTATGGAAGAAGGGATTTTTGCGCAAGGGACCGGGTATTTGCCATGGCGTAGCCGGCAATGGCTACGTCTTCCTTCTCCTCTTCCGCTTGACCAACGAAATGAAGTACCTGTACCGTGCTCACAAATTTATGGAACTCTTAACTAATGCGGAATTTAAGCAACGTGCGCGCGTTCCTGATCGACCGCACAGCCTTTACGAGGGAGTCGCTGGCACAGTATGCTTCCTAGTTGATCTCCTGGAGCCGGAGCAAGCTTATTTTCCCTTTATGGATGTCTTTCATTAGATAGTCCCAACCGCATCCCATCCCTCGCTCCATCCCCCATTCTAGTCATATATTTTATTTCTTTAAATTCAGCGCCCATTCTGTCGATATTGCAGCTAGTAAGGACTATTTTTCTTTTTAATTAGGATTCATCGATATCAGTCAAATTCGTAGGCGTCATTGTATACTTTCATCTATATCTTTCAGTCTTCAATACTTTTTTAGCCTTTTTTATTAAACATTATCCAGTCTTTCTTTCTCTCTCTCTCTCTCTCTCTCTCTCTCTCTCTCAACGTCTCCCTCTCTCTCTCTCACCATTGCTCCACTTGATTGCGTGGCTCAATCATATTCTCATATCAAAATTCTCTGTGCTTTAAGCTAAGCAATTAAAAATAATACGCATAAATATTCATATATATATATTCTATATATATATACATACACGATACACAAACAAATATACAATATATATTTATATACAATACTTACATTCATAAACATAAAAGAAATATAGACATATATATCTATATATATGTATACTGTGCTTTATACCTACGAGTAACTCCATTGATGAGCTCTAAATTCTATTGTCAATAAAGATTATACTGCAAAACTATGTATATATGTATATGCTTACTCAGCGGCAAATATCGTAAGTTGTTTGTATTTCAAATTTAGCGCCATCTTCGTGAAATGAAATTGGTTACTCATCACATGTCGTTGGCTAATATCGCAAGTTTATTTCATTTCAAATTACTTGTATATCGATATTAATGTATTCGTTACTTTAGTTACCACTTATCGGTATCTGCGCAACCGAACTAGTTTATTATATGACATTGGCATTTTACAATAATCAATTATTATTTCATTTGTCACATAAATATCCATATCTTCGTAATTGAGCAACTGAGCAGCCAGTGCAATGACATCACAGTCGTGCGGTTTGACGATGAATTGTTGCAAGTCTGCTTGCTGTGCGATAAATACTCATCGACAATCAACTTGCATCCCTAACTGGCTCTTTTCGTGGTGCGGACGCAATCTGCAAACTCGTGGCGAAATTTTGTATTAAATTTTCGTTGTCCAATTGCATAGCAAAACAAGGTTAATTGACACAGAGCGATGCTGGCTAAGACATAGAAACGTATATTAATGTTAATACTTACAGATGCCGGGCGTTGAAACAATCAAATCCAGTTGGGCCGATGAGGTGGAGCTCGACTATGGAGGCTTGCCACCAACAACCGAAACAATTGAGAATGGCCATAAATACGTGACCGAATACAAATACAATAAGGACGATAAGAAAACGAAAGTGGTGCGCACTTACAAAATATCCAAACAGGTCGTGCCGAAAACTGTCGCCAAGCGTCGCACCTGGACGAAATTTGGTGATTCGAAGAACGACAAACCCGGCCCCAATTCTCAAACAACAATGGTTTCTGAAGAGATTATAATGCAGTTCCTCAACTCCAAGGAGGATGAGAAGGCCAACGACCCGTTGCTCGACCCCACCAAGAACATTGCGAAATGTCGTATTTGCAATGGCGAGCATTGGTCCGTCAACTGTCCCTACAAAGGCACCGCTATGGACACCAATCTCATGGAGAAGAAGGCGGCAGCTGCTGCATCGGCAGCCGTGGATGCCCCCAAATCTGGAAAGTACGTGCCACCATTCCTAAAGGATAGCCAAAAGGGCGGTATGGGTATGCGTGGACGCGACGATACGGCCGCCATTCGCATTTCTAACTTATCCGAGTCCATGACCGAAGCGGATCTCGAGGAGCTGGTCAAGAAGATCGGTCCACAGAGCAAGATGTACCTGGCCCGCGATAAGAACACCGGCCTCTGCAAAGGTTTCGCCTATGTTCACTTCAAACAGCGCAAGGATGCGGCAGCGGCCATCGAAATCCTGAACGGTCACGGCTACGATCACTTGATCCTGAGTGTGGAGTGGTCAAAGCCACAGAACAACTAAAAGGGGGCAAGACGACGATGTGTGCGTGTGTGCGACGTGTGTATGTGTGTGAAAGGGCAAGGCTGCCGGGAAAGTTAAGCAGAAATGTGAAGAATACTGTAATTTGCTTTTTTTTTATTTTGAATAACTACCACTTATAGAGACCCTTGAGCATACCGCATGTGTTACAAATAAATAGTACATGGTATCTAAGCTATAAGTTTGCTAAAAACACAAAACAATAAACAAAAATTAAAAAGGAAACTGAAATGAATATATATTTATACTATGCAGGTCGTTTATTTACATGCGCGGGTTTGACGTCACGAATACTGCGAACAGTGTTACCAGAGAATGTTTTTATGCCGCAGCTCGCTGAAAAAGAGAGAGTGAGAGCCTAAGAGCAACAGATGTGACGTCACAAATATGTGAGCAACGCGCTCAGAGAGTGGCACGACCGAGGACATCAATAACGGCACTCCAGCACGCACTCTCTCATAAACAATATTTTCGTGTTGGCTTGATTGGCATGTAAATGTGTACGCCCCACGTTTATTTTTAATATAAAATATGTTTATTTTAAGTCGCATTTAGGCAAAGGTGCGCATATGCCATTTGATGCTATTCTCGGATTTATGGGAATACATATTACTAATGATGTTTTTTATGAATATGCATATACAGTATGTCAATTACCCTTGATCGCAGACAAGAGGGCGAACATATCTCACAGAAAAAGAGCGCTGCACTCCATGGAGCGCATATCGTGTTGCTCGCTCTGCAGGGTATCGCTGGGTCGACTAATAGCGAGCAGCATTCTGTTCTGCTTGCGTAAATTGTGTTTTGTTTGTGCCGTGCGCTAAATTTAGAAAATAGGTGCCGCTAAAGCATTTCAAATTTGAATATAGCAAAATGCAATATTTTTGATCTGCGGCTTGCTGGCAGGTCCACAGGTGTGTTCACAATGGAGTCCTCGTCGAAACTGGCCATAAAACGCGGCACGCGAATTCTGACTGAGAAGCCATTTGCGTACGTGCTCAAGTCGAAATATCGACTGGAACGCTGCGATAATTGCCTGGAAGCGTGAGTTGTAGTGGGATTTTAGAGTGGAGTAATGAAATAGAATATAATATTGCTTGCACAGGACAAAAGTGCTGAAGTGCTCCAACTGCCGTTATGTCTCCTACTGCAATCGCAGCTGCCAGCAACAGGCTTGGTCCATCCACAAGCACGAGTGCCTGTTCCTCAAGCGTGCGCTGCCGCGCATTGTGCCCGACGCGGCGAGGATGCTCTGCCGGCTTATATTGCGGCTGGAGCACGGCGGCGATCTGGAAAGAGGCTACTACACGGAGCACGGATCGCGCAAATTCCGCGATCTAATGTCACGTGAGTGGCAATTAATATAAAATACATACATACATATTTGTATATAGGCTTCGTTTAATATTTTCCAATTTTCAGACTATGCGGAGATTAAGAACGACCCGAAGCGCATTGAGCATTTGGAATCGTTGCATGCTGTGCTCACGGATATGATGGCGGAGAGCGGAAAAGGAAGTCTAACTGGAAGTCTGGTGCCCAACATGAATGAACTGATGAGTATTTATGGTCGTGTAAGTGTGAGTGAGCGGCAGCAGTAAAAGCTACTCAGCTACTCTGATGGCTGCACTGCTCTAAACAATATGTGCGTCCCCCTCTATCTCATGCTAAGGCTGATTTGAAGTGTGACGTCAAGTTTAGTAAACTTATCGTGATATTATTTGCTCTCTCATTCATCGTACAGCTCATCACGAACGGCTTCAACATCCTGGATGCAGAGATGAATTCGATAGCGACTGGCATTTATCTGGGCGTCTCCATAACAGATCACAGCTGCCAGCCGAATGCGGTGGCCACGTTCGAGGGCAACGAGCTGCACGTGCACGCCATTGAGGACCTGCCGTGCCTGGATTGGTCCAAGATCTACATAAGCTACATCGATCTGCTCAACACGCCCGAGCAGCGGCGGGCAGATCTAAAGGAGCATTACTATTTCCTCTGCGTGTGCAGCAAGTGCATCGATCCGCAGGAGATGCACGAAATGACCGCAGCCGTTTGTCCGAATGGCAGCTGCGACGCTAGCGTCAATATACAATTGGATAAATGTGAGAGCTGCGGAACGCCCGTGTCGGAGCAGCTGCGCACCGACTACAGCGAGGTGATGGCGCTGACGCAGTCCAGCTTGGACTCCATGAAGGAGGTGGCCTGTAAGTGGACGAAGCGGCCGGACTATGCGCTATATACACTCCTCATACTATGCACACTCTGTTCCCTTCCAGATCTGGACGTCTGCAAGGTATGCCTGGCCAAGCATCGTGGCATCCTGCATCCCTTAAACGTTTGGCACGTGAAGACACTCGATGCTGCCTTCGAGGCATCGATCCAGGTGGGCAAGTGGACAGAGGCATTGGACTATGGAAGGCAGCTGCTGCCAGGCTTTGCTAAATACCACGGGGAATGGAATCCCTTGCTGGGCCTGCTCCAGCTAAAGCTGGGCAAGATCGAGCTGTACGAGCGCAACTACAAGCAGGCCTTGCAGCACCTGCAGGAGGCGCAGCGCATACTGAACGTAACACATGGCCAAGATCATCGGCTGTTGCTGGAGCAGCTGCGCCCGCTCATGCTGCAGGCCAAGCACGAAATGCGATGAGCTCAGATCGGCTAAGAGATAGACTACGGTTTGGTAATAAAGAGTTTAATTAAGTGTAGAGCAATTTGAAATGTATATATATATATTTGCAAATGGCGTTAAACGATCTGCGTGATGGCCTTGGCGCGCCGGTCCGTGTCCTGGAAGAGGGCGCGTATCAAGTGCTTGATCTCATTCGCCTGGTAATTGGCCGTCAGCGGGCCGGCGCCATCGCACCAGAGTTCGGTAAACTCCTTGAGCGAGGCGTTCATCATGGTCTTCAGCTGCTGCAGCTTCTGCCAGCTGCGCACCTGCAGCACCTCGTGCTTATCCTGGTACAGCAGCGGCCCCTTCTCCAGCACCACGTCGATCAGGTCGCTCAGCTCGCTGGCCATCGTCGCCGAAATGTCGCGCAGCGTAAACACCCGCTGCACCAGCTCGTTGACAAACGCATTCAGCAGCTCGCAGAAGCTGCTGTTGTAGACGTTCTCCGGCAGCACCTGTTGCCACACGTTCTTCAGCAGCTCCAGCTGGCGCAGGCACTGGCGCACCAGTCGCAACGGCGTCGAGCCTAGGGTATGCGGATTCTCGAATTCTGTCAAAGGGCGAGAAGAGGCATTAATTAGTAGGAGTGTGACCGACTCGCAAATCCCCTCACCCCAATCCAGAGCACATGCGCCACCCTCTCTTTACAGCCCCCTACTCCATGCATTCACGCACTACAAATGTTCTCTTTACTCTAGGAAATCGYTTGGAGTATCTGCATAGATATGGGTAGATTTCTTGTCTCTGTCTAATCGTCTCATCAAAATTTCAAGTCTCTGACTTTTGCAGTTGTCGAGATCGCTGAGGTCAGAATAGGACTTCTATATATTCTATATATGTTCTGGCACGCCTCCTAGCTGCCTTTTCCCATATGTACAATCTACGCAGGAGAAACAATATGAAGACCCACCGAATCCGCTCATGATATCCATCAATATAGACTGCTGATAGTTGAGCTGAACCCGCAAGTGCTTAGTGGCCGTGGACTGAAGCATCTTGACCAGCGAGGGATAGCTATCGATGCCGTTGTTGGCGTGCTGAGCCACCCAATGCGTCAGGTATTGGCAATTGTTGTGGAACAGCGCCGATTGCTGGGGAATGCTCTGCAGCAGCTTCTTATGCACCTTGGGCACCTCGTCGATGTACGTCTCCAGCAGCTGGGCAACGACTCCGGCCAATGGGTCGGGCGTCGATTCTGCTGTCTTATCCGTTGGCTGGCGCAGCACGCGATCCATCAGCTTCACAAAATCCTATCAATGGGAAAGAGATTTGCTTTCATTATACGCGAATAATTAGAATACGAGCTCGACCTCGACACATTACAGATGTGTAGAGAGAGGCACGGAAAGTTGGTTGATGCTTACCTGGGCGCTCTTGGAGATCATGCAGCGAGGGAACAGAAACGGATCACTGGCCACATTTGCAGATAGATTGTTCGGAGCCACCAGCACCATATCCTGCAGATCACGCTGTATTATCTCGCGAGCTGTGGCCAGGACGCGGGCTGAGAGGCGATTCCGGTAGTATGTATCGAACTCCTTGGTGAACTCGGTCAGAGCACAGTCCACCTCTGGATTGATGAGATATGAATCCGCCAGGAGATGTTCGAACTGTAAAACATCTGCGCATAGAGTGGAGCTATTGTATTCATCCATTGTTTCCGGGACCGCGGGTATCAGGCACTCCTCGACGAGCAGCTGGAGCATGCGGTCCTTAACCTGATCACCGATAACAGTGAAGACATGCTGAGTGCCGTTGAGGTTGCTATTGATGCCACTCAGTGTCTGCAGCAGCAGGCGGAAATGATCAAAGACGTCCTTATAATTGGGCCGCAGCAGAGCCGACGCGGCGTCCTGATCCTTGATGGAATACGAGAGCGTTAGCTGTATGTGACTGTCATCCTTGGCCGCTTCATTGTATTCAACCGAAACGGGCTTTAGTATCAGCGGCTCTATACAGTGCTCCAGCAGAAAATTGCACAGCTTGGCTGGATTGTAGCGTTCCTGGAACAAGGCACTCACAATGTCCTGCAACTGCGCCTCGTCCTTGCTAATGAGCAGAGTAACGCATTTCGAATTGGGAAACGTTTTGCAATTCAGTTGCACCAGGTGATCGAACCGCTCCTGAAGGTTCTGCTGCAGCAAATGCGCCTGCACATGGTACTTGACTTTAATGGATTCGTAGCAATCCAATGTCTGGAACAGTCGCTCCACCTCGGGCGCTACATCGGCAGAGTCTGTGGAGTCGCTGTAGATCAGGCTGCGCAGTTTGCCCATCAGGTCGAACACGACCAGGCAGTCTTTATTAGCCTTCGCCTCTTCGACACACTGAAATAGATCGTCCAGCTTCAATATATGCTCGCTGACACGCAGCTCCAGCAATATTTCCCGCAGATCTTTGCTGCTCTTTGCCAGCTCAGCGCTGGCGTCGTTTAAGGCGGCTAAACCCTCTTCACCAACGGTGGCCAGCAGCTCGTTGATTTCGTCGCCTAGTATGGTCGCTTTCTCCAGAAAGATATCGGGCGATGTATGATTGGGCATGAATTCTGTATAATTCTCATCAATATGCTTGCGTACGCGCGTTTGAAATCTTTCGGTGCGAACCAACATCTTCGTAATTGCCGATTTTGTTGTCTCAATGCTCTGGCCCTGGCCTTGGAAGGACTCCTGCAGCACCTGCTTTTGCGCCATCATTTTTAAAAGCGTTATTTACCAACGGCAAGTTGCTGGAAAAATGTTTAAATTCGATGTGATGCTAATACAAACTGCAACGACGACGCTTGTTTACTTTTTTCTTTGTACTTATCGATTGCAATTTGAAAATGAAGTAGTCGAACTATTAGATTTTCGATAGCCGGGCATTAATCATAATAGTATCGATAGTTGTATGTGAACTTTAAAAAAAAAAATTAGTACTTACTGCTACAAGGCACATCAGCAAGTTTATCCTAAATTTTTAATTTTTATTAAACAGTACAAATTGACTAAATGATTATTACTTAATGAAATATGATTTTAATTGAAAGCAAAAAACACAACATAATATTTACTCTTTATATATTGCCAATAAAATAAATTATTGACTTTTGTCAAAAATTCTTTATTTATAAAAAGTCGTGATGTATATCGATATCATAGCTGTTGTAATCGGTATTGTAATCTATGCAAATTAGAAACCAAAACGAGCTAGTGAGCGAAAACGAGCTAGTGAGCCAAAATGAGCCATATTGAAGGAGCTAGCTCAGTGGCTCAGTTTAGTGAGCCATTAATTTTGGCTCACTCACTCATGAGCTACCCAAGTCTACAATAGTCTAATAGCGTTCAATGACTGCACACAAAGCAAATAAATGTACAAAATGTATATACATATTGCTAATTATTGCAATAACTGGAAGCGGCACAGTTAATGGCATTGAGCCAATATCAGCGATTACAGGCACCGCAATAGTTACCGGCATTTTTGGCGCGAGCAATTTTTTTTATTGCAAGTTTGCCGAGTGCTGTGACGAACGCAGCGTGCCGGGCGATATAGGGAGTAAGTCGATTGATTGGAAATGGAGCTTTGTGGATAACAGATGCATTTTCAGAATTAAAGCAGTCATTGTCTCGCACGCTCTTTGGCCAACATATAGTGCAGCAATATGTTGTTTCTGCCCTTTCGGGCCATTTACAATCGACGAATCCGTCCCGGAAGCCGTTAGTTATGAGCTTCCATGGAACGCCGGGCACGGGAAAGAGCTTTGTGGCTGATAAGATAGCAGAAGCTCTTTACCTAGAGGGAACCAAGAGCAAATATGTGCACAAATTTTTGGGCCGGGCGGACTTTGCACATCCGGGTCGCCTGAACGAGTACAAGGAGCGCATCAATAATGAGGTACGGCAAAGCATCAAGCAATGCCCGCGCTCACTCTTCATATTCGATGAGGTGGACAAGATGCCGATTGGCGTCTTCGACACGCTCACATCCTTTATTGACTATGCAGCCAATAAGGGCGATGCCGATTATACGAAAGCCATATTTATATTCCTATCAAATACGGCGGGCATCGAAATCTCCGACCACTTGGTCCGGCTTATGAAGAGTGGCAAACGCCGCGAGGATACGAAACTCTCCGATTTCGAGAAGATGCTAGAGCTGTCTGCGTACAACATGGAGGGCGGCTTGAAGAAGACGAACATGATCGAGGCGCATGTCATCGATCACTATGTTCCCTTCTTGGCCCTCGAGAAGGCCCACATCATCCAGTGCGTGGAGGCCGAGTTTCAACGCCACAGATATAAACCCACACAGAAGGATATTCAATTAGTTGTCAATAATGCCGTTACCTACGATCCCAAGCATAGCATGTTCGTCACATCCGGTTGCAAGACGATCGAGAAGAAGGTCGCCATTGTTGTCTATGACAGCAGGACTTGAAAGTCTCGGCTAAGTTGTAGTTTTATTTTTTTATATA